AAGATGCTGCAACCAACTCCGGAACCACAGCCAGATATTAGCTTTGAGACGTGGTTAAAAGTTATGGCGCTGGCAATGGAATGCAAACCAAATAGGAAGTTCGGCAGAATCATGGAGACGGTAAAGGATGAGCTGGTGGACGTCATCAATCCTATGACCGTCCTTCGACAAGAGATCGAAGAAGCTTGGGAGCCGTTCGAATCTCAGTATTCACGATCCGGGCCGCATCTCGCAAGAAAAATGGAGACGATGATCCACATGCATGCTTCGATATTCGGGCAAATCACGCTTTTAAAATTCAAGGATTTTATCGATGGTAATCCACCTTTGTTAGCTTGGAAGTCGACAGCGTACACGATCCATGCGATAGAGTTCCTGCTGCGCGATATGGACAAGCCGTTATTGGGTGCTATGACCTCCCGACAGGGCGATAGTCTGGAGAGCCTCGTGCGATTATCAGCCCTCCTAGGCGCGACTATGTCGAATCGCGCGAATGTCTGGTCGAACCGCGAACAGATTATGATTTACGCAGTGTCGCTGCTTACGATATTAATAGAGAGTCCGTCCAGCGGGCCCAGCATTTTTGACATCGATCCGTTTGGCGTGCTAGTGCCGCTCATCAATTCACTACCGAGTCTCTTTCATACGAAGGCGCACGAAGCGGGTCCGAATCCACCACCTATCATTACGGGCTGCGTGTTCGAATCACATGCATTCAAACTCGTATTTCTATGCCACATTGCAAAAATACTCTTCACATCCGATGTTTCCAACATTATGGAAGTGGATAGTCAAGAGGCGGAAGCTGAATCGGACATTGTTCTGTTCCATATTCTGGGCGTGCACTTGGATAAACAAAGAGCCAGTAACGTGTGGCGACAGGTGGAATCTGCTTGTCGGCCCTTTCTCCGATGTTGCGCCATTTACTTTCATTATGTGTCTGATGTACCACCGTCGAGTGAACTGACGCAGGTGCATGGCGACACGTACGAAAAACTCTGTCTGTATCTGGGACTGCCCGCCACTTGCGATGCGTTAATCTATTCCCATCTAGACGTTACTTTGAAACTGATAGACGTGTGGCGGAATCATCCTACCGTTTGGAATCACCGTTCGGGTGCCAAGAAGGCTCAGATCGTCAAGGATCCGTTGATGGTGAACAAGCTAGTAGACTTGCCGGACGATTATAGCGAACTCATCAATTCGATATCCCAGTTTACTTGCCCGAATAGTGATCGGGAAGACTCGCGTAATCCGACGATGTGCTTAGTATGCAGCGAGATGCTGTGCTCGCAAAGCTACTGCTGCCAAACGGAGCTCAACAAGATACCGGTAGGCGCGTGCACGTATCACGCGAGCAAGTGCGGCTACGGTATCGGTATATTTCTACGTGTACGCGAATGCGAGATTTTGTTCTTGCGCACGCCAAACCGCGGTTCCTTCGTGTGTCCGCCGTATCTCGACGAGTACGGCGAGACGGATCAGGGTCTGCGACGCGGAAATCCGTTGCATCTGTGCCACGAGAAGTATCGACGATTAAACCACATATGGCTCGGCCATGGACTTCACGAATCCGTGGCCAGGGCCATTGAACAGTCCTCGAACAATCTTATGCCGACCCAATGGCAACATCTATAATTCTACTTTGTGGGATTTTCCACGTCTAATCTGATCCGAACTTTTATTCTGAAAAAGATGAGGATAAGAAATATTAAAATTCTTACGCTTAGCATATGAGATCTATGAAATTTTTTCGGAGAGATGTGCGCGCAGACTTATATATTTACATGTTATTTCTCTCATCCTCCCTCTCCGTTTTTTTCCCTCTCTCTATCTCTCTTGCCTTGCGAACACTATTTTAGATCATTTCAGAGAGTTTACAAAATTTAATATATTCTTAGATTGTTTCTCAGAATTAACGAAATATCTATCATATGTTATGTAAATTAAAATATTTCTTTATATTTATTAACGTTGTTGCGTCTCCGAGTTTTGTTTGCTTATAGATGCGAATCCGTAATTAACATGACGTACTTGACCAATCATCACGAATCGTTTGTGGTATTTCATAAGAATTCGGCGAATTTTCTCTGCATATATAGGGTGTTACAACCGGGAGGTGATTATGGACCCAAAAACATGAAAAAAAGTTAGTATAAACGTAGGTCCAGAAATGCGTTCTTTTCGAGTTATTGCCATTTTTATATTAAAATTTCAAATTGCTTTGCTTTCAAATCTTTTTGTCAAAATTGAAAGTAGAGATGGTTTTGTATTTATTTATTTAATTCAATTTATTTTTTTTTGTATTTATTTATTTAATTTTTTATTTTATTTGTATTTTTTTTGTTATGTTTTTTTTTGTTATGGTATTTTTTATCCTGGGTAATGCTAAAGCAGCCCGCAACTTTTATTTGATTTTAATTATATTATAAAACTCATAAAAACCATCTCTTCTTTCAATTTTAACAAAAAATATTCGAAAGCAAAGCAATTTGAAATTTCAACAAAAATGGCGATAACTTGAAAACAATGCATTTCCGGACCTATATTCATACCAACTTTTTTTCTTGTTCTTAAGTCTCCAATCATCTTCCGAGCGATTGACCTCCACTGAAACACTCTATATACAAACGATGGATCCTACATTCTAGATCATTTTGAAGATCTAAAATAACGAACGAGCGGAATGAACGACGATATTCATCCATGTCATCGCCGTATAAACGTACTTCGGGCTAATTTATATATTTGGTACTTTTCATGTAGGATAATACGGTATTGTACCGTAACATTAAAATTAACTGGAGAATTATTTTCGTTAAGAATTATTCCTGCTATTGTCTGATGTTTGTATTGTACAAGTTCTCAATTTTTATGTGTCGGCTGTAATTTCGTCGGAAACTATCGTGCTTCCGCTTCGATTCGCGACTCTTAACTCAGGCTCCAAACATGCACAGATATGAAACGTTCGATCGCCTTTACATAGAATACAAAGAAGAAGAAAAATTCGCGGTTACCGAAAGGAGTAATTTCTTCTGAAAAATCTCAACGATGAAATAAAATAATACGTAACGTTTGTTTTCTCTCGTTGTGCTAGTCTCTTCTAGATAGATGCTACTGGAAGCAATGTTAATAAGACGCGCGAGACAGTTTCGGCATCGTACTTGAATCCTCGTTTGTCACGCAGTTGCGATTCAACTGATTTACGTACATCTGTAACACACACAAACACAGATAGAGAAGAATTAGAATTATTATTTTATATTAAAAGATTATTGTAAATATTCTATAATTGTACAATTGATAAATTTATCGAGAATCTGTCTTTCATTTTTGTGTATACCGCAATAAGAAGACGACTTGTGGCGACGTATTCGACTGACGATCTTTACATTTTTATTACATCGTCAAGAACGTCTTCATATAGTTTATGAAACGGTTGAATCGATAAAAAATTATTTGAGGATTTTGAAGACAGAGAGATTAATATGCATGTAACGAAAAACGTATATTATTGCGTTTATCGAAAACTTGGATTGTTAAATAAAATTACAACGCGTATGCCTTGTCCAATTTTTAGCAATACGCACGAGAGGTTGTGCCGCTGTACATTAGATCGCTTGTAAAACGATAATGCTATGAACAATTAGCACATTTCAAGTACTTGTGAAATATAAAAGATATTATACGAGTGTTGCATATATCGTATTTGTTATACGAATAATAGCATTATCATCATACATTATATATCATTAATTTCTTGTACATTGATCTAGATATCATACTAACCCGCGCATAGAGAAATGATAATTTCTGAAAGCAGTATAATATTATATAGAAATAATCGCGATGAATCTTGAAAAATATTAATGGATAGATACATATAATTCTATAATAAGCATCCCTCTTTCGAGTCCCATTGAAAGATCGTTTGCACTTTGACTGAAAGTTTTGATATCTCTATATATATATATATATATATATATATATATATAGTTCTTAAGAAATAAAAATTTATCTCGTGTGCGCGCGCGACTTTATCTTCTCCTTTCTCGAGAGAGAGACAGAGGATATAAATCTAGATAATATATAATATATTATCGCCGCTTTTTTGTAGTGTATACAGCACGTTGACATTTGTTTCCTTCTTTTTTTCTTTAAACGTTGTTTGCGAAATGAACACGTAGAATTATATGGCGAGAAATTAATTTATACAAATTCATAACACGTTATTTATATTCTTTAGACAATAAATTAATCTTTTTGAAGAGGATATAAAGATCATAGATATAAAGATATCAATTATTTCCGAACGTAAAGATTAATGAAAAAAGTGCGTATTAAAATATTAAAAAATGCACATATTTTGGAAGTAAAAAAAAAAACTATAATAATATTATTAGATTTTTCATCTATTCTTATTTTCGATAAATTTAGAATTCTTTAGTAAAAGATTTGTTTTAAAAAATTCAATATTCAACGTTTTGTATATTAAACTAATGATATTCAAGTAAAAATCATATTACTTTTGTTTTTTGAAATTGAATATAAAAAAAACATTTTTTATTATTCAAAATCTAAAAATTATAACTATATGTATACATATAATTATACAAATCTCAATATTTAAAAAAATTGATTCTTTCTTCTTTTAATTGAAGTTTCCCATATAGAAAATTCTTTTGTATTATTGAAAAACATTATCGAGAAGAGTTGTCATTGTTTCTCATAAAGGTTCGTTCATCTATTATGCATAGCTGCATAATTAATAGATTTATACAAAGAAATCGATCAATCAAATTTTCCATATAGAGAATGCAGCATTCTTTGTCCATATGTGATAGGCTAATTTTTTTGCGTAGATACTTTTATGTAATAAAAAAAAAATCTTTCTAAATAAGCCTTGCACACAATAGTGTTGTGTGTCATCCCATGGTATGTATATGTATGATGCGTAAGCACATACATAGTTACAATTCACTAATATAGTTTACGTCACATACACTATAGATTTTCAGTAGTGGTACTACTGGTAGTGAATATCGGAACGCGCCCTTAACCTCACCATTTTCACGCATGCACGTTGTCATAGGTGTACATTGTTGAAAAAAGTGTGTCTAGCATCCGAAACAATTAACGTCTCGGCGTGGATGACCGATTAATTGGATATTGGATGCGTCGTTCCAAAGCGGTGGTATATCACAGAAAACCAAGAAAATGTTTAAAAAGTATGTGTGTTCTTTTGTGTCAGTCGTTGGTACCCCAACTTCTCTGCAATATATGATATAGAGGCGAAAATATATTTTTGAATACTATACATATATTAAACAATTTAGACACTCCACGTTATAAAAATAATCAGCATTTTGTCAAATGTCAGTCTTGATAAACGTAGGAAACGCTGAAATAATTTCTGTTATAGTATACGAGATATTTAACATCATCATTTAATTATGCGTTAATTAAACGTTATTTTTTGTTAGGTTCGATGAGAAGGACAGCGTTTCTGGTGTTCAGCAATTAAAATCGTCTGTGCAAAAGGGGATTCGTTCGAAACTCCTTGAGCTCTATCCTCATCTGGATAGTCACATAGACGTTATAATACCAAAGAAAGACGCTTTCCGGATCGTAAAATGGTGAGTTATCAGCTACGCTAAGATTTATCTAGAATTTAACACATTTTGCTTTTATATCATCAGTCACGACCACATAGAGATCATAGTGAATGCAGCGGGAGACCTGTTATTTTTTCGCCAACGCGAAGGCCCCTGGATGCCTACTTTAAAGTTATTACACAAGTGTAAGTTTGTTTACTAATTAATTGAATAGGAAATAGAAGACACTCATAAATTTACTTTTATATTATAAATCATACATTGTCAGATCCATTCTTCCTGCCAATGCAGCAAGTTGACAAAGGTGCCATTAGATTTGTTCTTAGTGGTGCCAACATAATGTGTCCCGGTTTAACATCAAAAGGTGCAAAGATGATGACTGTGGAGAAAGGAACTGTTGTTGTATCCTTCAAATTTAAAATCGATCATACAAATATCTTATTACATTTTAACTGGTTTATTACACATCAAGATATATACGAATCCTTAACTTAAGATATATAGGCTGTTATGGCAGAGGGCAAACAACATGCGCTAGCTGTTGGAATTACAACATTATCGACGGAAGACATGTAAGTCGAAATAATTTCTTTTTTTTTTAATATTCATTTTTAATATATATTATTTAAATATTACATCATGATTTGCAGTGCCAAAGTAAACAAGGGAATAGGCATCGAAAACTGTCATTATTTAAACGATGGACTTTGGCAAATGAAACCAGTGAAATAAGACTGATTATACTATGAATCGAAGATATAATCAGAGAGCATTTTCTGTGTACAATGTTCTCCTATTCATTTTACCTCACAATACAATTGTTTCATGTGGAACAATACAACATTGTGTATCTATGGTATGTGCAGGCTATAATAAAGCTAAGGATTATCATTACATTTTTATTGTATAAATGGAAGGATTATGTTGAAAGTTTGTTGAGGCAACATAAGGATATAGAGAGGAATAGTCAAGTACATGTTGATGGAAATTCGGAATCATTGTAAAATAAACAATATTTAAGTGGATCCTGATTTAGCATCTACCTGACCTTCTTGATTCTCCGACGAACCAGAACGTTCATTCTCACAGTGCCCTGCAGGTGAAGAATATGAAGTAGGATTATTGGTGTCAGGAGCGGGTGCGGAAGCCGCGGTGGCTGCAGAGCCGCCAGTGACGTTGGTATTGGTGTTGCTTTCAGCAGCAACCGTGTGAGGTGATTGAGGATGATAATGTGGACTATGCGGACTATGAGGACCGTGGCCATGGGGACGACCCATCGGATGGGGCGAGTACTGCGAGTATGGTTGATGATAATATGGATGAGCGTACTGCGGATAAGGTTGATGATATGGCTGTTGCTGGGAGTAGCTATAACTGGGATGCGGCGGCCGCGGAGCTAGCGGAACATTCTGCGGTTGTTGAGGGCCAGGTCCTGATTGATACGGCTGCTGGCCGTAAGCTTGATTGGGCGGCATCATCTGCGGAGTGTGCGGATTTGGGCCCTGCGGCGGTAGAACCTGCGTGCCCTGAGAACCTTGCGCCGCCTGATGCGGTGGCATCGAATGATTCGCCAGCATTCCCTGCTGATGAGGATTGTGCTGGATAGGTACCGCCGGTGCGGACACTGGCGGCATATTTGGCGGTGTGGAATTCGCAGTCGCATTTGCACTTGCGACTACTGCCGCAACTGCAGCCGCTGCTGCTGTGGCTGTTGTGGTTGGTTGTTGAGGCGTCAGCACTGGCGGGGCTGATGATTGTTGCTGCTGCGATTGCGGTGGTTGTTGCGGTGGTTGCGGTTGCAGAGACGGCGGCGCCTGATGTTGTGAAATAGATAGTGGTTGATGCTGCTGGGGCGGTGGTGGCGGTGGTTGATGCTGCTGCGTCATCGGAGAAGGCTGATGCTGTTGTTGAGGAGGCGATGGTTGATGTTGCAGTGGTGGCGGCGGCGGATGTTGCGGTGTTTGCGTCTGTTGCTGATGCGGATGTTGTTGAATCGGATTGACTACGTTATTGCAGTACATTCCAGAGTTGGGCCCAGTGTGTTGTTGATTAGCATTTACTTGCACAACTGGCGGTGCTTCGGTCTTATTTTCGATGTACGGAGGTGACATTTTCTTGTTCATTTCAATATTAGGTTTATCAACGCTGCCGGATTTCTTTTCGATCGAATCATTGTCAGAAACCTGTAAACATGTGAAAATGTAAGTATTTATATAATATTGACTTTTTATATGAACATGATTTAATATTATTTTACATCAGGTTGGGCCTCGTCGTTAAGTGACGCAGGAGTCGGAGTCGGAGTAGAGTTTGGAGTTGATTCGCTAGACGTCGGTCCATCCGAACGATTCTCTTCTGTTCCTTTTAGTCTCTCCCGTCTAAGAACTTCATATTGCCGTTCTACCATTTTGTTAAATGTTTCTTCATCTACTGCTGGTTTACAGTGCTGAAAAAGAAAGTGAAAATATTGTATAAAATTTTACTAATTTAAAAAGAAAAGTTTCCTATACCTTTTTCAATTCTTCTTGAAATATTTCACTGGTTTCTATAAATTTACGTTTTTTTGCTTCAAATTTCTCTTCAATTTGTTGCAGTTCGGCTTCAAGCTTTTTCTGAAATGTCCAAGACATATTTTAGTTTAAATTATTATAAAACATTATTTATATATATGCACAAGCGTATTAATTACCTGATGCATCGTTAAAGATTGTACTTGACGTCGTAAAACCTGCATTCTTTGAGTAGTAACTACAGAACGAACATCTGGGACAACAGTATCACTAAAGATCTCATTAATAAGTCGATGATTTCTCGTATAACGCGAATATGCCACATGTTTCACAGAATATCCATCATCTTGATCTACAAATCAAGTGGAAGTTATATGTAAAACATATACATATGCATATATTAATTTACAATAATCGCAAATATTTTTTTTTTATGTACCATCATCATCTTCTGCTGGTAAAATATCAATCCTCCTATCCTGAGCCGCTTGACTTTTACTGCTGCCTGACGAACGTTCATGACTTTCTCGATCATCATTGCTTTGTTGTGCTGCACACAACGCTGCAAAAAGATACAAAAATATTTTAATATTAGAAAATAATTTCACTATTGCACATACCTAGTTTTTATCATAAGCATTAAAATTTTATTCATTGTATATTCACCTACCAGACTTTCCACGATTTTTAGCTGCAATATAAGCTAAGTATGCAGGCGAATTGTGATAAGTCTTCAAGCTTTTTTCATATTCCACCTATGATTAAGTAAATGAAATAATATGTATGTGAATACTAAATTATGGAATATAAAATCATAATAGGATGCATTTGCACACCTTCTCAGCTTCATACTCCTCAATAAATTCTGTTTTATCTTCTTCTGGCAAATCTCTCCACATTTGTCCAATAATTTTGCCTATTTCCCATAATTTTAACTCAGGATTCTGAGCCTTTACTTGATCCCATACCTTTCTGCTATATCTCATATATGGCATAAGGGGTTTCTCTGGTGGTTTAGGTGGTTTCGGCATACGAGAGTCAGCCTAACAATAAAAATCATCAATATTACAATAAAATCAATCTTTTCATTAACTTTATACAATATTGATGCAATATTGCTGTTAAATTGATATAATATTGTTTATATCTCTCATACAACACACACACACACACATAAATGTTTTAATTTATATCAATCATATATATTAAATCAGATACATACATTGGTGTTCTTTCCAACCTTCTGCGGTATAAATCCTGGATGGCTATGAGGAGTCTGTACAAATGGACTCTGAGTATCTTTCTAAAAATAAACAAAGTTATGGCAATTTAAAAATTCAATTCTTAAATATAAATACCCGATAAATATATTTCATCATAGTAATATCTACTTACACTGTTTGTTGAACTACTTGAACTCCCACCGGATGCTCTTATACGTTCTACAACAAGATATAGAAACATTATAATTTAAGTGTCTCAATTTCAGACAATCAATTTTATGTCTCAGGAGGAAAAATTAATTATTACTTACGATTAGAGGCTACGATGTTCGACGTAGCCATTGCGACTTGTTTGTAATTCTGTGGCAATGCCATCTTGTATTATGGAGCTTGCTCGACAAGTAATTTTATCGTATCTCCGACTTCAGTGCAAATCAGCTTTCGACTGATGGCTACAACGAAATGGATGTGACTGCACTATATAGCCGGTAATTCACGCGAATGTTTTGACACTTGCTTCGCAAATTACGAGAATGATTTGATCGGAAACACATACGAAACTGCACGATGGACTGATGGACTCGCGTCCATTTCGTATGGTTCTGTGCACTTGCGCATGGACTCACTTGCTATTGGTCGATGCTAGTGGAACCAAAAAACGCCGATATGACGAGGGTAAACCAACCAATGGTAGTAGAGATTCAATCGCACGACTCTCTTTTATCTCAAATGTCATTGGTCAACAACAGTGATGCCAGAATTGAGACGCGAGCAACACGACTCCGTAATGGTGGGGATACACACACAAGCGTAAACCGTGTACATGTAATGCGCAGAGCGCTCTGCGCATTACATGTACACGGTTTACGCTTGTGTGTGTATCCCCACCATTACGGAGTAGTGTTGCTCGCGTCTCAATTCTGGCATCACTGGTCAACAATGACATGAGTGTTCGGTGTTCGTCGATATTTCGGGAGTTTGATGTCAGTGTGTAAGTGTGTAATAGTGTGTAATTAGTGCTGGTTAGTCTTTCATATTATTTATATATATATGCTTATTCTCTATCTTTATCCTTTTTTCTATTATCTATTTTATTTATTAAATATAATTATATATATACATTATATTCCTCTCTCCTTTCTTTTTTTAAATGAAATCAACAATGATGATTGTATTTAAAGGCTATTTTCTTTCTCTCTCTCTCTATTCAAATTATATTGTATCACGATTATAAACTTTCAGCTATTCAATTTTGCATATGTACTGTTTCATTACTTTTTCTAAAATGCAATTTTAAAGAGAAATTATCTCTATTATGTTATATTAATTCTAAAAATTTATGTACTAAATGTATATTGTAAATATATATCTGCAAAATAATTATAGCTTGTGTATATTAAAATATATAATTACTTGTGCATGATAGTTCTTATATATTAATTCTAAAAATTAAAACTTTATATTTGTATAAATTTTGTAATTTTATATATTTATTAACTTTATTAAATTTGCACAGTGTTTCGCTGCAGCTATTTTACATAGGCAGTGTTTTGGACAATTATATAATCTGCTATAAAAGTTTTTGCCTTTTTTCTGTTTTATGTAAGACTTATTGTTATAGTGTCATTTATTCTCAAGAAGTATCTCTTTCCAATTGTATTCTTTCTGAGCATTGGTTTGTCAATATATATATATATATATATATTGCGCAGGAGATATATTTAATTTTCATACAATATGTCATAAATTGGTTTTGGCAGATAATGATTACACAATGCTTGCATTCTTTCACTGCGCGTTACAGGTGTATACCGTCGCATCGGGAAAGTCTTTACCACAGCATCCGTTAGGGTTCTCGTAACAGCGGTTAAATCTGCTTCTGGTCCCTGAGTGTACTTTTCTAAAGCCAACATTTCCGCCTGAAACAACTCTTGACCATATTCCTTACGAGTTTGGGGATCCAATTGAGTCCACATATCTCTAGCCTGCTCTAACAATGCAGTATTGTCCTTTAGCCATGCATTACCAGACACGTATTCTCCAGTTTCGACAATTACAACATCCACACCCCATCTCCGCATCTCCAATCTTAAGCAAGAGCCCCAAGCTTCTATAGCGGCCTAAGATATATTTATAATCTTCTATGAAGCTACTCACAAGCTTTATTAATACTTTTAGTTTCATGATTATACAAATAGATAAGGTACGACATAATCGACAAAGAAAATTTACCTTAAGCGCGCAATAAATGCCTCGAACAGGGCTCGGTATCCGTGCCAAGAGGCTGCTAACAAGAACAATTCGACCCTTCGACCTCCTGACCAAGGGTAGAAATACCTATTATGGAGAAAGTAAAAGAGCATTGTTTCATTATATCATAGGTTTCTCTTACCTTTTGACATTTGTGATGCTTAGAGTACCTGAGTTAAACGTGCTAGGCCAATGAAGTTGATATCTATGCTTCGCTTGAGAACAGATGGGGGCACCCACTCGCATTCTCCAAGAGTTACCCAGGCAGCAGCATGCACGAGTGCCCATAATCCTGAAATAACATGTAGCAGTATAATGACGTAGGATGTAATCTCCATTACACATCAAAGGTTTATAATCTTGTGAGGTTTTAAGAGATATGGCGATATACCAGGAGCTCCATCGGGCAAGTTTTCATTGACATAAAGGAAAGTTGAATGTATATCACATTCGTTGGTAACATCCAATTGTAATGCGTGCAATCTTCCGGAAGCATCATGTTTCAATTTTTGCATGATCTCTTCATTGTCAGCTTTATTAGTGAATCCAGCAAATACAGTAAAGCCCTTAAAAGAAGAAAAGCTATATAGATATTGGCTTTAAATTATATTCAATTTTCAAAATATTTCACATTTTACATATATATATTACCAAGTCATCCAGCTGTTTAGCTAAAGCATATCCGACTCGCGAATCGCAACCTGTGATTAGCACTGCCTTTCCTGCTGTAGTAACCTGTTGCATCGAGTAAACTGTGTATTATGTATATTTAAAAACACGTCTAACTTATTAAATCATAATCTGATAATGGAATTTCATAATACTTTAAAAGCATTGAGCGCGGACGATGATGCTTTCAGAGCCCTTTGTAAAAAAGTGTAAAACAGGAAGTATGCAATGATGATAAGTGCATTGATGCAGTGTTATGAAAGAAGGTCAAAGTTTTCAATCAGGCATGATGCGAAAATCCGTACAAATTCCGATATAGAGAAGGCCTTTGAACTTTTGAATACTCGCGAATGTAGCTGACATTATAAAAGAGGTTGAGGAAGACATACAATTTTATTACTACATAAGTGTGATATATGTATCTTACAATACCGAAAATCAAAATGAGTTATAATTTGTTTTTTCATATGTTAATTAAAAATTTTTTAGAATATTATTACAGAGAGAGAGAGAGAGAGGTAAATATACTATTGTAATTTAAATTTGCTTAAAAAAATAGACATTACAACAATATTATTTGCTTGTATCATGAAACTACATCACAAATATCTTACCTTTAGATTATGGTAGAACAATGTAGATCCTATAGATATAACTAATAGCAACAAGAAGAGCACAAAGCTAGATGTTTGTGAAATCCCAAAAGTATTCAATATAGTTGCCAGGATGACTGCAATTGCATGTGAAAATGCAATGGGTAGTAAACACCGTTCTGCTAACTCCCATGTCTGACTGTCGTCGGACTCTTTATTTCCACTCGATGATGGCATTTTTTTTATACAGATTTTAAATCAAAATCCTAGTCAAATGTGATTGACTCCATTCGAATGAATTCTGTGGCTCACCTAGGAGCCCTAACTGGGCTATGTCTGAGCTAACTTTAAACTTAAAACAGTGTCTAGTCTCACTGATCTAAATTTAACTACAGTGCTGTGTCCTAAGTTCAAAGATCCTAGCAAATTAAAATATTTGTATCGAATATTTATAATCAAGTAATTAATACTCGATATACTTTTAATAATCAATATTATATTAAATTATTAATACAAGTTTTTTATATCATTTAATGTGTAAATAGATAAAATTTATGTATTTAATATAATAAAAAATAGGAATTTATAAAGTATGTTCTATAAATAATAGTTAATAATTTTTTTCATGTGCGGTTTATATATATATATATATATATATATATATGTATTGTATAATATATAATATAATAATAATATAATATATAATTATCTTTAAGTATTTTCTGCGAATATTGCATTTATAATTGCACATTGGTTATTTATCATTGAAATAATAAATTAAAAATTAAAATTTTTTTTCTTTCTTTGTTGCATTTTAAATTGTTAGAGAAAATCACAGACACATGTATTATATTCTTTATATTAAAATACTTCAACATTGCAAAATAATAAAAGGTTTTAAATCAAAATCCTAGTCAAATGTGATTGACTCCATTCGAATGAATTCTGTGGCTCACCTAGGAGCCCTAACTGGGCTATGTCTGAGCTAACTTTAAACTTAAAACAGTGTCTAGTCTCACTGATCTAAATTTAACTACAGTGCTGTGTCCTAAGTTCAAAGATCCTAGCAAATTAAAATATTTGTATCGAATATTTATAATCAAGTAATTAATACTCGATATACTTTTAATAATCAATATTATATTAAATTATTAATACAAGTTTTTTATATCATTTAATGTGTAAATAGATAAAATTTATGTATTTAATATAATAAAAAATAGGAATTTATAAAGTATGTTCTATAAATAATAGTTAATAATTTTTTTCATGTAATAGACTATATATCGTCTGTGATAAATAATATACCATAAAATATATATTGCACACAATATATGTACATATATATGTATATATACACACTATATTAAAATACTTCAACATTGCAAAATAATAAAAGGAGTCTTCCCAAAATTTTTATCTTTTTTTTTAGTTTAAATATTCTAATTCTTCCATAAAGTATCTTTCCACTAAATCGCACATTATGTGTATTCCATGTATCAAAATATCAGAGAAATATTTTTATTTTTAATCGCCCTTTTCAAGTTCAAAGAAATGGAATCGATTGGCACGTGTCGTGAATTATCTCATCAATGTTTTTGCATCCGGAGATCGTCCTCTTTATTGATGTATAGGTATTTTTATAAATTTCTCGTCTCGGCGCCGTGATGAAAAAATGAGCGCGTTCGTGCGGAGTAGGGGTAGATTATTGATTTCTGTATGGGGGATGCCACAGGGGACAGAGGGTTGGACGGGTAGATAGGTGGGTGGGATAGATGCTGTGTCGGGGTGTCTCTCGCTCGCGCGTATATACCTGCGGGAGAGTCTACAGGGGGTATAAATAGAAAGGGTAGTTGCACCGTTGACCCAGTGTTGGGTTGACACACGGTCAGTTCAGTCTCTCTCTTTCTCTTTCTCTTTCCATCGCGCCGCACAATCGTCGTTGCCGCTGCCTTCTGCCGATTTTTTATCTGTGAATTGTTTAACAAATATACCAACACAGTCTCGAGTCTCGTTCAAATATTTGTTAGTCTACCAGGTCGATCCAACGCAATCCTGAGCACTGCCCTTTCATACTTGATTGTTTCTTCCAAGTGTGATACAACAATCCGAAAAATCATCGGTCAGACAGCTGGCGTCGTCTAGTGCATCTTTGTCAAGGGGATATCTTTATCTCATTGACGTTAATAAAACAGCGTGTTTGTATACAGTGTTCATCGCATAAAACTGTTTGTTACATCTCGCATAAGGGCGTATTCTCCCTCCTCTCTGTTATCATCGGACGCGCGACGAAATCATTCAAACTTATCGTCACACTGTCGAAGCATCATCGACTAATTGATGTGCAACGAGAATCAGGCCTTAGCAGCAGTCAATTTTCTCCGAGAAAGTAAATCTTTTCCGATTAGACGGTTGTGTTTATCACAGGGCGTAGAGGTCCCAGTATTGTGCGATACGAAACGGGAATTACTAGCGATCAGCGAAGTTAATATTTGCTCTCGTTTGCCGCCCGTGAGGAAAGATGTCAGATACAACGGGAATCACGCAGGGAATGGGCAATCCTTACAAGATAGTCGATCACACTAGGGAGCGAAGAAAGGGCATCACCGCTTCGTCGCTGAAAGAGTTGACCAACATCGCACGCAATCGTCTGGCATTACCCGTGGACGCAGATCTGACAATCGTGCTCGAGCAGGATGGTGAGAGAATATTTATGCTGCAACATGTACAATCGTTAATTTTTAGCATATACATGCTAGATACTTATAATTTTTTATATATTTTTTAAATTATTAATTATTTATAATTTACGTCATATAAATATGCATATCATAAAGAATTATTCAACCAATAACTAACTATCTTTATAATAAATAGAACTATTTTTTATGCATTGATGATTTCCTTTGATTTTCCTTTCAGGGACAGAAGTAGATGACGAAGAATATTTCGCCACATTAGAAAGAAATACAAGCTTGATGGTGTTACATGGTGATCAAAAATGGATCGCCGCGGGGAGTAGCAAGACGGCGTCCCGTTATATCGTTGTAGATGATGTGGATGCGGAAGGTGGTTCAAGGACTGATAAAATTCGACGGCGGCGAATGCCCATAGAGCCTTTGGTATCGTCGTTACATGGCGATCCATCGCATATCTCGCTTCTTGGAGGAAACGACCTGGAATTACTTAGCGATATGGATCCTGACAGTTTAGCTGATATAGTGCCTGATAGGTAGATAATAAATAATTACAGAATTCTTCCAAGTATAATTATCTTAAAAAACAAAGAGAAAAAAAATACTATTATTATTAATTTGTTTTTTTCAATTTCGTTGTAGACTTTTCCTTGAGCAGCTGAAGGAAGCTTCAGGTAGATTTTTGGCGGAGAAGCGACAAGCACAAGAATCTATGGCCCTTCTTCAGATGTATGCAAGTGGTGGTGAGATGGAGCGAGCGTAGGCCATGTGGGGGGTGGGCGCCCTCACATTGGCTAATATGTATAGAGTGCGACGTCGCATATTCTATAAAGGTCGCCAACTGCAACAAACTTTAATCCTATTCTGGAATTGAGCCCATTAAAATTTTTATTTACGATAATAGAGTGTAACTGAAAAAACACACAAGTATTAGTTAACAAAGCTGACATATATATCGATGATAAAGATCTCATATTCTCTCTCGTTCGCATGAAGAACATAAAGAATCGCAGAGACAAAAGAAAACACTGTACAGAAATTAAACACAAATAACTTATTATTCGCTCTCGGGAATTTAGTACTAATAATAATAATCATAGAAGTTTTGTCTCATATATAGAGGAAAAATAATATAGTCCTAAGTTTTTTGTAGAATTTTTTTAATCTATATACACAATTCAGTGGCACAACTATGCTTTAGCAATACTTTACATCCTTTAGTGAGCGTATGGAATTGCTTTAATACAATGTAAGATACCTTGCTATACCGACAGAATTATATACGCGCAATTTAGCTGCTAACTTATCTGAATATACATATAAAAAAGGAAGCTGTGCATAAATAACATTTTTTTGAAGTGGATATTCCGTCGCCGCGTTGCCATATCAAGTTTTAGCAGAAGATATTTCGTTTATGAGATTTTTGTACTTAGATACCGTCATACCGAGATTTAGTTCAACGAAGATTGATGGAATATTTAAGACTGAATTTATAGAGAAAACGAAAACCATCCCCATAAAATCACTAATTCATTGTACACTAACATTAGCGACGTAATAGCGACAACAAAAAAAAGTCGATATCAGCCCTTTGATACCAAGCAAAATTGTGCTATTTGATAAAAAAACAAAAACGTGGAAATTTGCAGTAAAGAAATAGGTATTTCTAGCAAGATTATACATACACATAGCTATAGGTACTAAATATTATTCCACAATTAAAGGATTATATAATATAATCTAACAAAAGCAATGTCATATTTATATTCATGATCCTCGAAAGTTACAAATTATAAAGATAAAATATAGATAATACTTACATTTTTTTAAACCGTAATAAGAAAGTGTATGTCTATTCTTTGTAGAAATGCCTTTTCAATATATTGTAACGTGTGTTCCTTGATATTTATATTGTAATATAATTATCATATCTCCTATGCACATACACATTAACCGCATTATACATATATTTACATCGGAATGCAAATATACCACCGCCGCATTTGAATTCATGGAAATGAAAAGCGCAACAGTATTAAACTATTTGTTGTTATCGATCGGATATATCATGTTAAATTAGGCGCAATACTTTCGGTTCCACAAATCGATCTTAGGGTATTAGTTTATAACGAATTGAAGTGATTGATACGAAACTTTCCCAAAATGAATGAAGATGTGTTAGAAAGTATATAAAAAGGACACATTAAATAATACTGCCAGAGTTAAAGGAAAAATCGATTAATGCTCAAATAATATCTCCGATCATAAAGAGGATCTTGCGCATCTCTTTCATACCCGCATCTAATGCGCGGTATCACAAAAATAGCATGTTCTATATTAACACATGCCATATTACTCATTGTTATCAAGTAAATTTTAAGAATAAAAATACGCACTAATAATTTTAGAGGAATTAAGTTTTAATGGAATTCAAGAAGTTGTCGTTTATAAGTTGATGTAGAGCGTGGGAGGTATCTTTTATCCGACTGGATGCGTTACGTAATTGACAAACAGCCTCTTGTAATACCAGTTCACTTCTCAGCAATTGTCGATTAACAGTTGACAAATCTTGTATGCTGTTTGCGATCGTGCCCTCGGTCATTTGCAGAATGTCTCTATCCAAAGTTTCATTGCATTCGTCTGTTCAAGTTTAACATATGTCAATTTAAACAATGTTCAAAATTAATAAGCAGTACATATATATGTACGTCAATTTTGTTTTGAGGTATAATTTAATGTTTTTCATAAATGCTGTTTTATAAGAACTTGTAAGAAAATTGTTTGTACAGTGTAAATTAGAAAGAAACTATAATTATCGAATTTTAGATGCAATAAATCGAAATTGAGTTATGATAGAAGTACAGATCACCAAAGAATTAAGTTATCAATATTCCACATACAAACATGTAATACTGTTTAGCCATAGTTATGCACATATTATACTACTGTAATATTAATAAAAGAATGTTAACAAAAGTAAAATATTTGTCAATTTTAAACATCCTATTAAACATAAGATGTAATATACATAATGGTTTACAATACTTTATATAATATTCCTATAAATATAAGAAAAAAAATATAAAATAAATTAGAAAATATTATGATTGTTAAGTCGCTTACGTAATTTTTTGTGAAGTAAACTATTGTATTTGATAGAACTCTTTTTAGATTTTGATATCTTAAGATCTGTATAAGGAGGGCAAGCCATGGCATCCATCGCTCCACTAATGCTACTCAAGCTTGTTAAATCTAAGAGAAATAAAAAGATTTCCACATTGAACATTATCTAAATTTTGTCAATAAAAATATTCAATAAACTAACCGTCATCAGATTCTGGTGCTTCACCGGAGATAATAGTACCACAGTAAGTTGATGGTGCTCGCATAGAGGGAAATCCTAAACCCTATACATGTAACAAAATGTATGTATGATAAATTTCATTATTCATTAAATTTAAAAAATAAAAATTATGGAACACAACAGAGCGATACATGACATACAGTGGCGATGATCGATGCATCATCATCAGACTCTGGAGCTTCTCCAGAAATAACTGTAGCTTTCAAATCCATCTTTTAAGAAATATGTACGTGATGTTTATTACAGGATTTTCATAACACTGTAATAAAATGTATATAATAAGTGTGATTAGAAAATTGGCGATACTACAAATAGTAATCAACTTTCAACATAATTTTTTCATTTAATTTGCTTTTGTAAAAACATTTTATATTACTATTGTTATATTAAAAAATACGCATATAATGTCGCGTAACACCGTTAATTTCAGGTTAGTTTCGTTATTGGAAAAAATACGTGTTTGTAGAATATTATTACTGATTGTTGTAATAAGAAAACGATACACTTGATTAAAAATCACATGATCTTTCCAGTTTGTTTTAAGAAAATGCTTATATAGTTTCTTTTACTCTTTATCATTAATCTAACCACTGACTTCCAGATCTGAACATCACTGGGACTGTTAGCATTATACAAGAATTTTTCTGTGTATATGTGTATAAATGAGAAAACTATAAAAATAATGACGTTGACGACGATGGTTCTTAATAAAAAATTTTTAATTTTGTGATTTTTGTCACATATACCTCTATTCAGAACATACATGGAGCAATAACGAAGATATTTTTCTTATATTTAAGATCCAATTTATTGATTAAACTTATTTTAGGAATTTGATTGACACAACTATTATTGAGAACCAATAAATAATCTAAGGTACTCATAATTGGGCGTCTTGTATATTACATGGTGTATAGAGATACTACCATGTCTCTTGATATGCTCATGATATAAATAAAATATATTATATTTACATCATGTATGTGCTGCATACATATTTTAATATATATATATATATAACATATATAACATTCTAAATATGACAATATTTTGTTTTTATATGTGGAGTAGTGAATCAAATTGCACTTTATATTTTATTGTGATTCTTATTTTGTATATTGCAAAATATAAGATTTATTTATATATATATACATTCACTATTCTCAAATATTTTTAATTTATGTACTGTACAAGTTTACAATTGCAATACTTTTATAAATAATAAACTTATTGTAATAAGAAATTTATATAAAATAGTAAGTATTATATTTTTTTTTATATATACCTTTTCTTCTAGCTATTAAATAATTAAATTATCCACGCAGAATATCCAATTCTTCAGGTGTGACATGCAGTCTTAATTCTTTCTCGCGTATCAAATCTTGGATCTGTGTAAGAAGTTGAGGTGCTACTTCAGCTGCATCTATGTAAATGCTTCTTGCCCATGGACACTGCGTGACGCTCTCATGATAAATTTCTTCCCCCTTTTTCTCACACAAATTATGTTCTCGAAGTAAGAACATATACAGTCTCCACAATAACGGGCAACATCTGATTGATGGTATCCTGAAAACAATTTTATGTTAAAATACTATACAACAGATGTATATATATATATATTTTTTGTTTGTTTGTATATATATAAAAGATATACTGGGTATTTCAAAAAGATTGAGGTAGCTATATGTAGACAAGTTCTTCTCATCAAAATAAACAAAAAAGTAAACATCTAAAATGCTTTGTTAAAAAGTTAATGTCAAGTTAAGATAACGTAATTTATTCATTATTTAGTAAATATATTTAATAATATTTGTATGTATTATGTTAACATCAAAATTTATTTCTTTAATCTTAATTTGATATTAATTTTTTAACAAAATGTTTTGGGATGTTTTATAGGAACTTTTTTGTTTCTTTAGTGAAAAGAACATGACTACATATAGTCAGCCCAGCCTTTTTGGAATATCCTGTATACATAATATAAAAGTGATTTTATTCATAAATCACTTAATAATTTGAATGTTACAAAATTGTATTTCTCACTTACTTAGAAAGTGTTAAATGAAACGATAATAGCTTATTCAATGCAGCATTTACTGCATCGGGATGATCAAGTTTCATTAAAAGACCAATACGTCTGCGAGCGGCTAGACACATCGCAAAGGCTCGCCACAATTTCATTTCAGAGCTTCTACTATTAAATCTCCAGGTCGGTAATTCACTCTGCAATAATAATAAGTTTGTAACTTGATCAATTTAATAATTTCCTCATAAAATCTTAGAATAAATATTATTATATATTATTAATGAAATGTAATGCTTTTACCTCTATGCCAGCAAATACAGAAAGAGCATAAAAGTTATTTGGATATATATTTAAAACTCTACTTAGAGTCTCTTTCAACACAGTCTCCAACATCTGAGTCCGTTCATAATGTAATTGCAAAATTGCAATTTGACTTTCGTATAACATTTCCTGTAACAATTTAAAAATTATTATTTTAATTTGTTTATCTCTCAGTACTAAAAATTAACATTGTGACAAAATATTAATTTGGTACCTGTAAATAAGGATAATCCTTGGAATGATCGATACAGTTTCTCAATATCTTGATAACACTTTGAATATCATCATTTTTAATGTATAGAAAGTAAGTATAACATACAATCGCGTCGCATTGTAAGTTTGATAGAAAAAAAGTATCCTTTTCAATCTCATCAGGAGAAGCTTGCAAAAAGTCTTGTACACATGAATGTAAATATGCTTCTATCAACGAGTCTTGATTTTCTAGGTTTTTGCTAGGTATCATTTGACCAAAGACTCTTAATACCCATTGCCTATGCGATTCGTTGTATGTTCTAATATCGAGTAAGGTCTCGATAAATGTTCTGTACACGTTAAAAAGCGCTGCTCTTTCACACTTGTTAGTAATTGTAGAAGGGCATGTGCCTTGAGATTGAATGGCAGTCTCAAGGATATTCATGCAATTACTGAATCTGCCCATTTCCAACTCTATTAAGGCATATTCCTTGTAGAAATATAAATTATTTCTGTTTTCGTCTTTTTTTAGAAACTCTTTCAATGTTGTTCTCAGTTTTTTTCCTCTGTAATAAGAAACACATGTTTATCTCGCATGTTTATTTAAATCTATTAAATATTTAAGTATACAAAAATCTTACTTATTGTCATGTTTTAAAGGTTCATCTTTGTTGAGAGAAACTAGTAGCCTTTCCAATCGCAACCACCAAACATATATACTCGTTCGTTGGAGCGAGGGTAAACTTTCCGCGATTGTATGGAATATTTTACGTACAAAATCCAGATATGGTTCTTGCGCTGGATGAAACTTGAGATATTGGGGACCTGATGTTAAACGACCTTCAAGAATATCCTTCAATAATTCTTTTCTTTGGTCGTGACCAGCCATTTCACCTGCCATAGGATACATAAATGGAAGCAATACTTCCAAAGAGTCTACTCCCCAATTAAAATCTTTCAATATTAAATCCTATAAAAATATAAAATATTATTTTTTATAAATCTCTTATTTTTTAAATATGCTCCATAATTTAATTTTTTCTTAAATAATTCTTATAATTTTATGTTTTTCAATTATTTATAAAGCTATATATTTAAAGTTTTCGAGCAAGATTTAACTTACATTTATATAATAGTCACGACAAGGTAGAAGTGGTACTTTCAGGCACAAAAGAGAATAAATAGCCATTTGAAAATTCGAATTACGAGAGAGAATTGGATGTACAAAATCTGCTACATCTTCAGGTAAAATAAATCTTCGAGAGTCTCCAACCAATTCTAACTCGTCTCTACTGACACTAATCCAGTGGCAATTCTCTCGTAATGATTCTGTCCTTTGCCATAATTGATTAAGTGGTAGCCGTGACATCAATATCATTTCTTCCATTCCAACTAAAATTCAACATTATTATTAGAAACAATGACTAACAGCATATTACTAGAATATAAAAAAAACTCCCCCCTCCCCCTCCCATTAAGTTCTTCTTGAGAAATTCTCTCTAATTGGGTATATATATATATTTTATATAGTTATTATTATTAATATATATATATAACAATTTTCACATTATATTTATTTGCTAGATATAAGATCAATCATTATTGAATTTATATCAAAAAATATATTTAATTTCAATAATAAACTTTATAATTTTCATATAGTAATGCTTCTCAATTAATATCTGATATTATCTGATATTTAATGATCTGATATAAATAATTTGACGAGTTTATTTTCCCTGCAATTTTAATCTCTACTTAATAAAAGTCTTTTTTATTTTATAAATGCATAATATTATGTACTTACTTAATTTCTTTTCATCTATGGATCCACGAAAGGATAAACTAGTTTTATTTAAGTTCAGATTTAAGTTCAGGTTTAGACGTATTGTTTCCCACATTTGTTCCCATAATCCTGTATGCCTTAAGAAAGTTAAACATTGATATAGCATATCTAGATAAAACATAAATACAAGAAATTAGTATAAAAAAGAAATGTGATTAAATTATTGGTGAAATGTCTACTTACATAACAGTTGTGCGTCGTAGATAGAAGGATTTGTTCTCGCGCGCTGTCTCAAAATGCAAAAACATTTTGAATACAAATCTAATACTCGTGGTACAGTACACATTGCTACTGAAGCTTGTGTAACCATAATAAAGTGTTGCCACAATACAATGTTTCCTGAATCCTTATTGACTAATGCCTCCAGTTGATTTGACAGTTCATCAGAAGGTGTTAACTCTGTCATGAAACGTAATTTTAATTTTAATAATTCCTTGGAGTCTATGTTCTTTTCAAGTGCTTTCTCAACAATAGATAACTTTTTCAGCACTGTAGATCGATGTATATCTTTGGCTAATTGGTGTCTTTGATAATAAACCAGAATATCCTGGAAATTGATGTTAAAATATTATTAAAGTTTAACTTTCCTTAACATGTCACATATTAAATATTACAATATTACAATTATAATATTAGAATATTATTATAAAACCTTAAATTTATAAAAAATATTTTATTTAATACCTGAAAGTTGATATATTGTAACCAAAGTTCAACATTATGTGGATCTTCTGCCAGTTGTTCATTATATTCCCGAATTTTACACTTTTGTTCCTCTTCTAAGTTCTTGCACCAAGAAGATACATTTTCATTTACTTCTTCAACTTGAATTGAAGTTTCCTTTTTGATCGTTCTTGTGATAACTGTATCCTTTTTTTTTAATGATTCTATAGAATCAATATTTTTGACATAATATCTGTGAAATATATTCTTTTTTGGTTGCTTATGCTTAATAAAACCAATAAATTTTTCACTAATTTCATAAGCTGGCCTTGCTCTAGCACAGATTGTATTTATATTATTATTTCCTTTATCTCTATACTTGTCTTCAAAATATACATTCTTAACATCTTGTTCATATTCTGATTTATATCTTTTGCTGTCATGTGTACGTCTTTTCCTCTTCGTCTTTTGCGCTTTGTCAATTTTCGATTCTTTCTGTTTTGTATATATCTTTGTATCCAAAAAAATTGTTTCAGATTTTACTTGTTTTTCTGCACTAGGTAAGTCATGTAAAGATTCATCAGATGAAGAATATAAAGACAAGCTAGAAGTCTCTCTATTAATTGGTTCTTGTGTTGGAAAACTCGAATTTGACAACCATTTGATGGGAATATTATCTAAAATAAAAAAAAAAAATTAAAAAAAAACAATATTAGTTACACGTACATCAGAAGATAAATTTATTTAGAAATAGAGAAATTCTCTAGATCTATATCTGTTAAAATATTTTTTTTTGATTCATAATTATTTTCATATGTAAACATTGATCAAAATTCGAAATATGTAATTACCCGTATTGTCGCAACTTGTCGATTCGACATTTTTATCGCTTGGATAAGCTGGAAACAGAGACATAATTTCTTTTTCTTCTTTTATCCGTCTCGTTTTGGAATACGTACAGTCTCACGCTTTTTTTCTTTTTAATCCTCTCTTTTCTAACCCTAGTTTCACTATTTACAAATATAAGACAAATATCTTGAAATTGCAAAGATCGACACTATGTATCCGATATCGTATGGATATCGATACCATATTCCCATATTACTGCCAGTACTGAATATAATGTACGTAACGTAAACTGTAGATTTTCAGTACTGACGGTAATATCGGAACGTAGCCTATATTATCGCGTCGATTACTCTTCTGTATTATCATCAATAGTTTGACTAACTATTTCTAACTTTGAACACGATTTCCAAGGGCGTTACGCTACGCGTACATTTCTCTGTGCGGTTTTTCTGCTATTGAGGGTGCGGTCGAGAAGACACTAGAAATGCTTCGAAGCATTACATTAACCAATCAGAATAAATAGATCTTTACTCTTTTTGTTCTGATTGGTCAATCAAACGCTTCGAAGCATTTCTAGCATCTTCCTGACCGCAGCCTGAATTGGATGATACACGTGACACCGTGACCCGTGACAGATGTGCATCAGGCATGACAGGTGATTGATCAGGACTAATGGAAGGATGGTTGATATCGGTCACTATCAGTTGATATCAATTGACATTCAATGAGGCATAATTGAAATTGTGATATAGAAAAAAAGCAAAAAATGACTGATTATTTCGAATCGTTAAGAGCACGTGATTTAATTATCCTTGACGTATCAGAAGATTACACATTGGGTAAGATATGACAGTGCATCTTTCCGTAAGAAAAACATTGAGATATAATAAGAGATTATATAATTATTTTTTGCTGGAAGGATGCATAATAATACACAAAAGGATACGTAATATACGACCATATTACAAGTGACGTAACGTTTTTAAGGATTCTCTTGTTGTTTCTTTTTTTCTTCTCTCCCATTATATACTTTTAGTGTATATTATATAAATGTTTCGAAAGTGCAATTTCGTCAAGCGACTTTACGGTGTTGCAAATGCATCAACAGAGATTGCCGCAGTTGCAGAGACCTCGACTCGAGTAAGTATTGTTGCATATGCCAGAGTATAGTCTCTATTTTTCTTTAGCGCTTAAAGTTTTTATGCTCGAGTCATAAAGTATTATAGTTCAAAGTAACATTAACTTGCTTGCTTATTACAGTTGCAGCTGCTTAGAACAAGATTGCAAGAGGATGAACAGCATGGAATACTTACAGATACATTTGGGCGTAAACATACGTACCTCAGGATATCTGTCACAGAGCGCTGCAATCTTCGCTGTGAGTTTCTTTGTAAATTATACATATTTTAAGAAGTTGCACAATTTTCTTTATGCTATCAATGAAATTGCAGGTACATATTGCATGCCTGCAGAAGGCGTTAAGTTGACCAAGAAAGAAAATATTTTGAGAACAGACGAGATAATACAGATAGCTGATCTTTTTGTCAAGGAAGGAGTACGAAAAATACGTTTGACTGGTGGTGAGCCCACAGTTCGTAAAGATATTGTTGACATTGTTGGTAAAGTATTTCTCAATATTAATTTTACATTAATGGCATGAGATGTTACTTCAATATTTCCAAGATTTATTTATTTATAATTTTATGCATTAGGGCAACTGAAACAATTGGCAGATTTAGAACAGATTGCAATCACAACTAATGGTTTGACTCTGACTCGTCAGCTGCCAGCTCTCCAAAGAGCAGGATTGGATGCATTGAATATATCACTGGACACTTTGAGAGAGGAGCGCTTCGAGATATTTACTCGCAGGAAAGGTTGGATGAGAGTTATGGCTTCTATAGATCTTGCTGTTCAGCTTGGTTATAATCCTGTAAAAGTAAGTTATAATAAATTATATAAATTTTTAATATCGTGCAGTTTGTTTATATAATATCTATATAATTGTAATCTATATATTTATAACATTTGATGTGACTAGATCAATTGTGTGATAATGCGAGGACGGAATGATGATGAAATAATTGATTTTATCGATTTCACAAAAGAACGCCCTATCGATGTACGTTTCATAGAATATATGCCATTTCAAGGAAACGAATGGAAAGAAAATAAGATGGTTTCTTTCGACGAGATGAAAAGAATAATCCGAAAAAAATATCCAGATTTCCAAGCTTTGCCGAATCAGCCCAACGATACGTCCAAGGTTTGTTTCGTAATACTGAAATTGAATTATATATTCGAGAATATATTGTACGATATATATGTTTCCCTTGATAGGCCTATCACGTGCCAGGATTTGTAGGGCAGGTTGGATTTATTACATCCATGAGCCAACACTTTTGTGATTCGTGCAATCGCTTAAGAATAACAGCAGACGGAAATTTGAAGGTATGTTTATTTGAAGGAAAAGGTGAAGTCTCGCTTAGAGACGCTTTGCGAAATGGAGCTTCGGAAGACGCACTTAAGGATTTGATAAGAAAAGCAGTGTCGCGGAAAAAGAAGCAACACGCAGGTATATATATTTTAATTAAGACAAAAACAACGCCATATTTTATGAAGAAATTTAAAGTCGCGTAAAAGAAATCCTAGTAAAAATAATTTTAACTGATCCTTTTTCTCGTTTTCTTTTTTCTTTATTTCACGTAACCTGTAGCAGTGTCGACAAACCGATCATGTTTATATCTCTGCTGCGTGTTTCAGGAATGTTCAATCTTACTCAGATGGAAAATAGGCCAATGATTCTGATCGGAGGTTAATTGATGATTATGCTAATTAACCAACTATATTAAAATACATCGGGTTTGTCGAGACGTGCACAGATGTTATCGTAAATTTGTAAATCTTTACGTTAACTCAGCCCAGTTAACGAAATTTAAAATTAATTTTAAAATATATTTACGTTTTACAGATAATCATATAGAGAAATTTTATCACAAAATGCACAAGTACAAAATGTATAACGTCGCATCGATGCGATATAAATATTTACCGTATACGTCTATGTACCTTAAAAATAATGCTAGTATTAGAATGTATTCATCATTATCGCACATAGATGAGGCCGGTAAAGCAAATATGGTAGATGTCGGATGGAAGAACGATAGTAAACGCGTGGCAATAGCGAGAGGTTTCGTCAAGGTAGGTCCTATTATCAGTAATCTGATTGCGGAGAACAATGTGAAGAAAGGTGACGTGTTATCGGTGGCCCAATTGGCCGGTATCATGGCAGCGAAACGTACCTCCGACCTTATCCCCCTGTGTCATCCGCTCGCCTTGTCTTACGTAAACGTATGTCTAAGATTGAACGAGGAATTACACAGTGTAGAAATTATATCAGAGGTCAGATGTACCGGTAAGACGGGTGTCGAAATGGAAGCTTTAACCGCCGTGAGTATAGCGGCGCTTACAATCTACGACATGTGCAAATATGCAGCTACTCCTGGTACAATGCAAATACATGGTATAGAATTGATATCAAAAACGGGTGGTATAAAGAGTAACTTTGCAATAGACAAAGAGTAAACAATTTATTTTTATCCCATCGATGAATTATGATGCATTTTGCCGTGTTTCTAGCATTTTAAATAATACAGAACAGTATGTATACAAAATGTACTAAAGGGCTCAAAGACGCAAGTATAAAAGCAAGGAGTTATTATGAATGTTTAAATTGTTTCGAATATTTATTATTTGATTTTTATAATGTTGTATTTTTATAGTTTATTTTATTGCATAATATTTTACTATATATAATATACAAAATTTTATATATATCTTTCATATGTATATAGATAGCTATAACGAAATAATTATAGCATTATATTATATAGAACAGAATTCTTTTAAATTCTGAGTATATGTATCAAAAGAATAATCAATCTTGCATAATTATTAATTTCGAAACGGATGCATACATTTTATCGGAGAACTATTTTAATATATTTTTATATTTATGCGCTAGTGATTAATGCAAAGATAGTTTATTATTCGATTATACGAACCAGCATAATATATATAGAATAACGAAAATTTCAATGAAATATTTAATAATTTTTCAAATTTATTTTTTCATAATTTAAACAGGTTCTCATATAATGATAGTCAATCCTAATAGATGTAAGTGAGAAAAGCCTTAGATTTATACAAAAAGATAGTAAAAATTACGAATGAAACAATGTGCTTCCGCATGTATTAATCAATGTAGAAATATTTTTACATAAATAAAAAATGTATTTGTGTTAGTTTAAACAAATGTACACATATATATTTGTTTGGATTAAAAACGGAGTTAGCTGAAAAATTACTGTGATTATGTACAAAATCAGAGATAAAAATAATCATAAGAGTAAATATTTCATACATATTGTTATGTAAAAAATTGGAAAAGAAATTGAGAGCGAAGTGCAATAATAAGAAATAATACAGTGCTTCCCTATTTTAAAAACTGTTTATATATATTGAAAGTTACACGCGTTTGATTTACATATTTTAATTTTTTTTAAATGTTATATCTTTTCGAAATACTGTAATATATCGTTTAACAAAACAAAAGGAATTTTCTCTTTTATCCCTTATTTCCTTATTTATGCGCAGAAGGAAATTGCCTCGGAAGAGAAGCAGAATAGCAAATATGCCATAAACCACTTTACCCGCGGACACTTTGCGAAAGGGAATAGAGGAGAAGGGTAAAGGAAGCTCCGGGAAGGTGTATACACACCGATTGCTTCGGTAAATCGCGATAATGTACGGCTATTGCGATAGTCGCGCGCGGGATAAACACGTCTCCTCTTCCCGGTTAAGGGAAATCATATCCGATGCCGGAGGACCTTTCGGCGCAATCGCACGTATCCTCGGTGGAATGTGCACGGCGCCACCGTGCCAGGATTTCAGAGAGCTTTTTCGTATCCTCCGCGAGGAGGAAATTTCAGTGCTTGGCCCGCAACCGTATCGCGTCGCCCCGAACTTTGACTCCTCCGCGCGATCGCGCCCAAGTCGCGTGGATTAATAAAAAGAGAATAATCGACGATATATACGACAGCGACAACCGTCGGATTAAACTCTGAAGAGATCACTATAATTTCTCTGACGCGACAATATTTTTAATATATCGATAATTTTTGTGATAAAATGACCGAGAAATCGATCGTATAAAAAAAGTGCGAGGTCTGGATTGATTATGTTTGTGGTATTTTTTCGTAAAAGCGGCGTCAACGATCTCGATTCGCGGTAACATTTCCGCATGTGAGGAGCGCGAATGAGGATCCGGTGAGGGTGAGGGTGAGGTGACGCGGCATTATGCCAACGAACGGCGTGATCCCGCGGGTGCTTTTCGAAGGATCGCAAATGGAAAGTGATCGTTTGTATCGGACGGTGGTGGGAAGGTCGCTGTCAAACGCAGAGTGGCGCGCGTGAATTAGATTAGAGAAATGAGTGCGAAGTGAAAAATGGTCACGTTCCACGGCATGGTCCTCCTGCTCCTGGGAATCGGATACCTGTTACACGCGGAACCACTTTACGGCGAACGTGGCATCGGTAAATGTCCCGTGTTTCCGTGAAACCCTGAGAAACGGTCCCGAGACGCTTTTCACATCGCCGTCTCTGTGTGTTATATACGCACGTAATTCTCGTTGTAACTGAAGTAATTTCACTCGCGCGAAACACACTGGTACACGAGAGAACGGTGTAAATCATTTTTATTATCGAATTTGTTTCGCTGTTCAAGAAGATAAAACACAAGATCCGAAAAACACCGATCTCAACTTACTTGTCTAAAGTCTAAACAATACATGTTTTAGTTGCATTGTCTGCAAAGATGACCATAATTGATTATCGAGATTTATAAAAATTTGACTTCACAAAATTAATTTACTTCTATCAACCTTTTCAATCAAATATAGTTGAAAAAACAGAAATATCTCTTATAAATGCTATTCTATATTCTGGCTGCAGTGATAGAATTGAGATTAATTAATAATTAATATAAATAAGATAGAAATGAGATCATTTAATAATTATTAAATAACTATAATTGACGTTAATCGACATCAAATAGATTATATTCTCAGTTTCAATAAATGGTATATGTAATTTTCGCAAATAGACATGCAAAATTAAGTAATGAAATAATTAAAGAGCATTCTTTACGAGCGGACAGTGCTTTCGAAAAGAATAATTAACAACTCCTCTCTCGAGATGATATCTAAATAATATAATTAAAGGAGCGAAGAGATTACAATCTAAACGCATTATCACAGCGATAGTATCGCAGTATCAATTTCTTGACAAATATATCAAATTACTGTTTTCCTTTTCGAAAATATTCCTAGCAATCTCATTATCGTATATGTGAACTCTCAACAAAATAAAAAAAAAATTATTGAAAATATACTTATACTATTTTCATCAAGAAAGATTCAATATTTAAACATGCTAAAAACATATTCCAATGAAGTAAACAAAACACGCGCAAATCAAATTAATAAACATACGTATATTAAATCTAAAATATTGATTTAATTATTAATTATTGTTATATTAATTTAATTAAATTTAATTATATAATTTCTAAAATAATTATTTAATTATACCATTAATCTGTATGTACACGTATACATTTAAAGCTTGCAAATAATAATATATGTTTATACTGAAAAATTTGGAGAGAAATTTTATCTTTTTTATCATATTTCGAGCCGAAAAAATTCGTAATTCTTTTTCGATAAAAACATTATCGAGAATAATAATTCAGCGATTTCACAGCACCGTTTATCTCTATTTCAGCGTTTTTGCATAGCAGCAACGACACATTTGGAAAGGGGGAAAAGTCGCAGCGCGGCACAAAGAAGACGTATTTTTTCAAAGACACCCCGCACAAGTTAACGGTGGCCATAGGTCAGGCCGCCGTGCTGTTATGTCGCGTTAAGAATTTGGGAAACAGAACTGTGAGTTTCACACGAACACGCATATCTCTCCGAGCTTTGTTAATTTCATCGATCTCGAAAGCGGTTTGCGTGCTGCAATAACTTACATAGATGCTCAACGCGCATTAACCCTTTCGCTGCTGGCAAGTCAAATGTAGCGTGTTCATTAGACGTTTATTAGATTCCATTTTAGAAATAGGAATTTCTATATAATATAAAATCTGTTGTAACTTTTTTAATAAGAAAAGGATAAAAAAAGTAGATATATCAAAGAAGAGTGGAAAGGCATCAGCATTTTTTCATCATTTATGACTTACAGCTGAAAAATCAGAGAATCGATATTCTTATCTTCTGTTCAAGCTTCTTCTCTAAGAATGAGTCACCGTTATGATAATTCCGCGCAATCATAAAATTGAGACGTTTCTCTCGATCTCAGATTTTTTGCAGACGGAGAGACAGTGAGAAAGAGAGAGGTCCAGAATATCTCCCACTTTTTTTTTAACGCTACAAAATTTGTGGAAATTAATACGCTCGCATGAATTCTCTTTTTCGAAGTTGAGAGAGAAATTATACAATCTCTGTGTCTGTATAAATTCTCGTCTATTTTCATCGACTTCATTATAATGCGCGGTGAGAAACGAAACGCGCACGGACGGATTGAATCAGCAGCAGCGAAGGGGTCGACGACAAACTTTGCAGCTACTTATACCTCATTCACGGGGTCTTCCCGTGCGTAATAATCCCAGGTGTCTTGGATCCGAAAAAGGGACCTACACATCTTGACGTCCATGTCCGTGACTTACACGAGCGACGCGAGATTTACGGTAGTCAGCAATCCGGAAACCGACTACTGGAATCTGCGAATAGATTACGTGCAACCGCGGGACGCCGGCATTTACGAGTGTCAGGTTAATACGGAACCGAAGATATATAGAGCCGTGACTCTGAAGGTTTTGGGTAAGTTTCTGCGAGACGAGGTAGGGGCTCGTCCTTCCCCATAAATTGCGCTTAAAGATCTCCCCGAGCGTCTATCGCGCGGCTGTTAGAAGCAATTGTGTTTTAACTCTATTCACTGTCCATCGTCGGTTTGTCGACAATTTCACCGACGATGCGATCCGTTGAAAGAGCTTTATTTGAAATAAAGTAGAATCTATCTCTCGGATAGAATCTGAAACGGATAATAATTCGATCTCTCTTGCGCGTTTCTCAAGTATAATAAAGCCAATCGCGTTATTTTACAATTTTCTCCTCCTCTCGTCTTGTTATCATTGTTTCTATCAGATATACAGGCGAGGATCACGGGTCCTCAGGAGCTATATATCAAGAAAGGTAGCACAATCAGCCTGATCTGCAGCATAGAACTGCAGGATCTGCCCCCGAGCAACGTGACTTGGTATCATGCCGGTGCGGTGATCGATTTCGATGGTCCAAGGTACAAACAGATGTCTATTAAACTCCGTGATGCACAATTAGCCGATAGAATTATTGTTCAAATTGTGTCCATATTGTACGCATTCGTATACACAAACACGCGTAGTAGAACAAACAGTCAAATCGGAAATCTAATTAGAGTAATCTGCGCTGGCTTCGCAATTATCTCTGTCAGGTCACGCAGCTACAACATCACGAATCGTCTATTTCTATGCTATTTTGCGATAATTCGCACAAACAGTTCCATTACCTTGCGAAAACTCGTTGCTTCACCGCGACATAGATGCAGACGTAATAGAGTTTAACACAATCGGCGAAGAAAATCGATTGTGACGGATTGTGGTGTGGGACGAGTATTTCGTGAGGCAGAGTATCTCGAAAAACGAGCGAGATAGAACGCACACAGTTTTTTTTTTTAAATAATCTACACGGATTTTGGCTTGCGAAACTTTCGCAAGTCAGTTTGAGTAATGCTCTCACTTATATACGTATACATGTTCGACAGAGGTGGCGTATCGCTGGAGACCGAGAAGGGTAAACAGGGCACCACGAGCAAGCTCCTAATAACGCGCGCTCAATTTAACGATAGCGGTAATTATACATGCGCTTCGAGCAAAGTCACCCCGGCAAGCGTCATGGTGCACGTACTAAACGGTGAGCAAAATATCGCGGTGGCAATATCGGTAGCGGGAGGGGGGAAGATTTGCGACAGTTAATTTCGAAATTCTCTTTTAGCGAGCGAGCGAAGCGTAATGTCGCGAGATTATTCCCAGAGCACTTTGCAATAAGGAGAATATTTGTTTTACTCAGATCTTCCGCGTCTCCTCGCGCTTTTAATTGCATTAAAATTCTCGTAAATAACGCCGCCCGCGTGCGTTATTCAAATATTAACCCTTCTATCGATATTTTAATAATGCAATATCCCGAAGGCTTCAATCTAAAAAAAATGTTTAAAATTTATTTTTTAACTTTTATTGTACATGATCATTTTCTACGAATATCAAGGAATATACATATATAAATTTTTGTACATTTTTTCGTATTTTTCGCAAGCATTTTGAGATAGTTTAAACTCCGATAAAATATTATGAGTCATGTGTGCGGGAACAGGGCAAAAAAAAAAGTGTGACCTATAAAAGTTAATTATGTAAAAATTTGTAATAGACCATGCACGATTTATCGTTCAATAATGAACAGGTGACGTTGCACCACGCGTTTGTTCGTTGCAAGATATATAATGAATATTTCCCGCGAACACATATATATTATTTAGCAACGATAACTGTGTGTACACAAATTATTTAATGATAATTTCTGATGTAGCATTGTATCTATTTGTTTCTCTAATCACTCTAATGAATACTGTTATTGCATATTCGGAATTTAATAACGAAAGAGATGATCTATCCTCCTCGGGACGATCCATATATTTTTAAGGATCCTCGAGCGCAATTCTTTTTATGTTCCACCGTCCCGCTGCCACTTTTGTAAAGCCGTTAATAAATTTAATGTTTGTTAGCGAGTACTCGAGAAAGATTGACGAGATTGGGCTTGTAAAGATTCGAAGGAGGGACACAAAAGCGATGCGTTAGCCGTCTGGCGTAATTCTCTTTTACAGGGGAACATCCCGCTGCAATGCAACATGGCGGAACTGGCGATGTAAATAGACGACTCGTTCTGCTCGTCTTGATTTTCCTCGTCGATACGATGTTTCGGTGAATCAATCTTGACGCCATCGATCTCCTGAAAATAACTCCCGAATTAGCATCTTCTAAGATGCCTTCCCGGAAATGAGACGCGAGAGTAATCAACGAGATAGCGTATGATTTACAGTAAGAGCGATTTTTTTTTTTATTGACGCAAAGTTATTGGTCAAAGTATATGTTAACACTAATTTAGGATCATCTATGTACGTTCGTTTGAAGAACCCAAAGAATTTTCATCCAATCTCTAATGTATGTGAATTGCGAGGTTCAACCAATCATCCTGATATTAGACTCTTTGGATTCGTCGCTCAAATATCTTTATTCGAAATGTCAGTACGAATACGAGTAATATGTATGTAATATAATAAACTTTTTGGAGTTACACAAACCGTCTTTGTCTCTATATAAATCTTAATCCATTATCTCCTTTTCATTTTGCATGCAATCAAAAATTTTTATACAGAAATAGTTAGTAACAAATTAATATTAATTATATAATATTCTCTGGATTCAACAATTACATTGTTGGTGAAATTTGATTCTTCGAAATATTTCCTGACATATTTTCAGCTAGGTTTATCAAGAGAGATCAATATTTCGTCGTTAATCAAATTCATCGTAATAATATAATAAAATTGTGAGAAGATTACAAATACACAATCCTAAAGATCTGCAAACAAAATACTATTTTTTCAAGATTACAGTAAATCACAGTAAAAATCGCAGTATCTCGCGATACCAGCTTGCAGATCACTAAGACGAATATAAAAATGCACCATCGAGCGTTTCTAGCGTTAAGTGCAGGAATCGGAAAAGCATAATCCGTGAAAGCATGTGCGTGATATGCATTCGCCGCAAGGTAGGGTCTGGGGTGAAAGAGTTAACGCGCATTGCCCTTCTTATCCGACGGTATATTAGAGTCTCGGGATCGCTGCTACCTAGTCCGATAATGGACCGGCAGTTCTCGGAAACGTCCCAGAGGAACTGCGGATCCTGTCCGGTCTCATTTTATGCAAATCGCGCGCGGAAGCATCAGTTAGGCTCCGCTTCACCGCGAAGCGGAGTCGTCTCGTCGCCCGATGAAAATTCATGGCGGACGTAACGGTGATCTCTTCCACTCGCACTATCGTCGCGCAGAATCCTGCTTCCTGCATGCACGTCCGTGATATCTTTCCGGAATAACTCGATGCGCAAAACTGAGAAAAAAGCATAAATCCTACATCTCTCCCTCTCTTTCTTTTCCAAGATTGCTAGTGTATATATATACATTTGAACAAGTAAACAAGAAATAAATTATAAAAAAACCCTTCAATCTTATAAACAATTTTAAAAGAATATCGAGATAAATATCAAGACGTTCAGTAAGTGAAAACAAGAAGTTGGTTTCTCTCGTCGAGAGAATTTTCCACAATATTTTCAATATCTTAAAATTACCAAGTTATTTTATAAACTGTTAGATATATATAAAAAATTGTTATGTGTAAGATTTATAATAAACGCTGTTAAATAACATGTCTAAATAGTAATATTTTGAGGAAATAAATATTTTCAAAAAATCTCTGGAAAACATTCTGTACAAATCGGTATATTATTTAGATGGACGAAAAAGCTCTTTTGCAAGTTTGGAAAGTTCTGCAAACGAAGTTTGCAAATTTTCGTCCTTCGGTACGACAACCGGAGGAATGTTGGCGAATGTAGTCTAAGAGCGGCGGATTCTATTTCGGCAAAAGTTACGCGAGACCACGCGAGACATACATTGGATGATCAAATTTTTGAACGTGCTCGCGTAGTTTCGCATGAATATCGCTGTAATGAACGAGTTTACGCCATAATCGCGTGAAGCTTTTGAACGCAAAGCAATTTCCCCGGATATTTCGTGAAAATCCCGGCATGCGATAGTTCCGCAAAAGCCGTGGAAAACTCATTCTCGCAAGCCACCCATGAATTGGTATTGTGACCCCTTTCTCTCTCTCTCTCTCCCCCCTTCCATCCCTCTCTCTCTCTCTCTCCTTTGTATTTCGTTCTGGACCGCTGATTTTTATTATGAGAGTTCTTTGTCACATGTACTTCAAAAATGCATAAGGAAACAGCATGAAAATAAACAAAACGCAATGCAATGCAAATGCGTGGTATAAAAATGTACCAAATTTCGAAATTTTGAATGATGCAATGTTATACTTCTTTTGAGAACAGCCAAGAATCCCTTTTGACGCAGCTCGTGGAAGTTTAATCAATAACAACAATGTTGTTTGACGTTGATCGTGTTCGCGATCCATCGCGATATCGAATCATATAAGCCATGAGAAGCAAGTTGAATTATTTGCGGAATGCACTATACACGCAAATGCAGCCTTTATTGAGGAGTTTCGTCTGTACTCGAAGCCTTATAAGCGAAAGAACGAATAGCGTATTCAACGAAGCTGTGCGATACAAAGGGATAAGATAACGTGAGTGTAAGATACGTTTATAAGAAGCAGGAAGGAAAATCCACACCGGGGGGGGGGGGGGCGAGACGTTTTCTTCCCGCGTCTGGTTCAACAATGTATAGGCTCCACATTTCTTCCACATAATAGTTTCCGAACCGTTTCCAATAGCACAATGGATTATTTCAGAAACTGCATCAGAAAAGATTGGTATTATGACGATACGCAAAAAGCTTAGTTATAAAAATACTGAATGTTCTGAATTAAACAGTCGCGAGAAAGATTCTATCACAAATTCTATTTTCGCCAAATATAAAATTTAATCGGCTGAAACGAATGTCTGGAAAACACCATCGATAATAATCTTTTAAATGCGTTAAACAATCTATTTCCTAAAATATTTTTCGATCCTTTGTGCGCTTGACGAGAAATTTAATATCTCGAGAAAAGTAAATGTTTGCTTGCATCGGCAAATATCTTTTTATTGGCATCGGTTTTTCGGAAATAATGATACTGTTCTTGAAAGTCAAATAGAAAGAAAGAAAGATATATATATATATA